TCGAGTAAAAATATTAAAAACTTTTTATTTGTTCACAACAACGAAGCGCGAAAATAGATAATAAATGAGAAAGGAGAGATGAAATTCATATCAAAGTAAAAGCATTTTTATGAAAAATTTTAATAGCATTTTTCTAAGTAAATTACAGAGAATGCTGCAAATAGATGATGGGAAATGCATTCCAATGAATGCACGCCATTATTGTTATCCTCTATAATAAAAGAGGGATTATTTTTCCAGAGAAAAAAAAATTATTTTAAACAGTGGACTTACCAATATTCTAGGAAATTTCCACAACGCGCGTTGTATCACACAACATTCAGAGACTCTCACATTCAATGACGATTATTATTAACGGTAGCTCACTTACGCTTCACAAAAGTATGACTTGTTCAAAATTATTCATATATATCGTATTTTAAATCGGTGCAGCGTAATAAATAAATTTACGTTATTATTACTTCGATAAAATTAATGAACTATGAATATGCATAAAATAAATTGCAAAATTATAAAATATTAAAATATTGTGAAATAATAACACCAAACAACACACGACACATTTTCCAGATTGCAATTTGTTTGGAAACTTCTTATATTTTTTGAAAAAATGTGATGAACCCGATACGTTTTGTTTTATTGCGTGTAACCAAGGTGGTAGATTTACTTTACCGGAAAGAATATCGAGACAACGTCGGTTCAAACGCGCTCTTCGTGACAAACTGACTTTACGAACAGGCGTGTGGGGGCAACGGAACCTTGCGGCTTTCGGGCGGGTTAATACGAGTCCTGATTGGAAGTCTGCCTCACGCATAAGTTCTTTCCCTTCTTTGTTTGACCCTTCTGGCTTAGGATTAAATTCAAGAGTTCGACAGTGATCCTCTGTAACGCTACAGAAGCTACGTTGAAGGATTACATTCATGATATACGTATTTTTAATAGCTCATCTTGTGTTTGCATTTATTATTTTTTAAAATATTTATATGCATGTATCATGCAGATTAGATTAATTAAATTCAATATATTGGCACATAATTGACATGTAATGCCATGCATGAAAAATGCGAAAAGTAATCTGAAATACGAAATCTGAGATATGAAATTAATATGAAATTATGCAGTTGATCTTATCATTATATAAACTTATATTGTATAATACATTATCTTTTATCTCTCGTGTAGTTAACCTTTCGATTGCCAAACAGGGCGAGTTGTTCGCTCCATAAATGATCTTTTCAGAGTAATTCTGCCAGATTTTTATAATTTCTATAGATTCTTCTAATTGATTTTTGAATTGTAAGTTTTTTTATTTAAAATAAATAAATATATAATGTATATAATTTTCAAAAAGATATTTATTATTGCATAACTCCGCAAATAACTTAATATTATTAAATTGGCTTTAATTTTTTTAAATTGTAAATTGCGGAATTATGCAATAATAAATATTGCGCAAGAACTATAATCATCTCGTTATTATAATTACAGCTTTAAGGTGGTTGTATCGCAAAATGATTTTTCTTAAGATTTGTTTGAAACTTTTACTATTTGAGGATAATGATATTCTCTATACATACGTATCATTTTGAGGGGGGAAGGGTAATCAGGCATCATGTTCAAAAGATAATTGCATTTGAAGTTAGTATTTTTAACATGTGCTAGACAAGGAGCAACAGTACATTTTCAATTATAGCGCAAAAAACGGTAGAAATTCGCTCAAAAAGTAAAGGACTATAGATAAATACGAATCTCCTAAACCGAAGAAAATGGGGGATAACCAGGCAAATATTAATTATAAAACCTTAGAAAGTTGCTTTACTACTTCACTAATATCCACTTCGCTTATTAACTCATTCTAAAATATCGGCGTACAGTGGGGAAATAAAAATTACTGTTCAAAAATTGCCATCTGCAGCAATTTTTGAACAGTAAATTTTTTTTCACCATCGAACGCGCTGGCGCTTCGGCGATTGTCAGACCGCTCCTGTGCGATACAATTACCTTAAGGATCTTCTATGTTAATATAAATAAAATAACATTGTATTATATTTACGCATTGATTTATTTACTATATTTTAATGTAATGTTTAACATTATAAAGCTATTACAGCATGAACTATTATACAATACAGAAAATTGTTTGTCAGCCGCTTGCCTCACTTGAGAACTTATGTCTGAAAAATCAACATGGGAGAACAACTTTCCGCGCTAATTTATAATTCGAGGTTCATTTGCTGTATCCGGCGGATGGTGTTTCCCGAATTTTTCTTTTTTTAACGAGTAATTGCAGACAGACAAAAGTTTCTACTTACAAGCAATGAGTTACTCTGAAATACGTATCACAGGAAAATCTCTGCTCTTAGAGGGTCTCGAATTTGATTCCCAAAGCATTTTCCGAAAGATTAAATAATAATTTTAAATGTAATATTATTTTCTTTACTAACAAAGCAGGGTAATTTAAAACTTTAATGTATCTTATATATCTGAAAGAGTGAGAATTTTTTATCCATCCTCACATTTTGCATATCACGCGATTTTGGAAATAACCTGATCATTAATAAAAGGCTGTAATTTGCCGAACTATGTATAAACTTGGCCTCCGATAAGTCACGAGTGAAGTAAAATGTTATCCATATCTAAAATTATTTTGTACAGGTAGATACTCGCAAAGTTTCGTTCAAATTGATGGATTCGGGTCGGCAAAGTTGCGTTGTAAACGATCCCGACAGGCTTGAAATTTCGAGCAACTTTCCGCGCTGGTTTATAATTCGAGATTCATTTGCTGTATCCGGCGGATGGTGTTTTCCGAATTTTTCTTTTTTTAACGAGTAATTGCAGACAGACAAAAGTTTCTACTTACAAACAATGAGTTACTCTGAAATACGTGTCAGAGGAAAATCTCTGATCTTAGGGGGTCTCGTGATTCCCAAAGCACTTTCCGAAAGGTCAAGCTCGTCAGAGCTTCTTCCGAAGACGGTCATATTATAATTTTACTCAGTCTCGTAAATTTTTCTCATAATAAAGAAGGAAAATACGCGAAAAATATATTTAGAAGCTCGAATTCTTGCATTTAGATTAAAAGTGTATCATAATAATAATTATAATAATTATTTATACGATATACAATAATTTTTTTTCTCGACAATAAGATAACATTTTGATATAATTTGGATTGGACTTGGACAAATAAATGATTTTTCTTCGAAGAAATGCAAAAAATATTTTATGTATAAAATCAAAATTTTTTCGATTATAAAACAAAACTTTTACAAAATAGAATTAATTTTTTTGATTGTCTTTTCTGCTCTTATATTAATGGTTAAGTTATATTTAACAAAAATCGTTTGTCGTGTGATAAAACAAAATTTTTTGCCCAATGTAATACACACGTCATATATAAAATATATGAACACGATTAATTCAGACTAGGTCACGCTGGTTCTCGACAGGACTATACTGTTATTAAAAATAAGATTATCAACTGCAGAATTATGTTAACAATATCATCTCGCACTCGCTTACATTGGTCTTGCATGTTGATCCCGGAAAGCAGCCTTCGATTATGGCAATTCTGTTAGGAACTTGCGGTAACTTCTATGACAATCCTGTCACGTATAAAGTAAAGTTCCTGAAGTGCTGATAATTCTGAACTAGTCCAATCAAAATGTAACGTTTACGTTAATGCATTTAATGCTTATGAACCGCTTTCTCTCTCGTGACACATGTGTGAAAATGTTCTCTGAGTGTACGCTCGTATGCGATAATACCATCACATAAACTGATCGATATTCGCATGTACGTAGACGGAGGTGAATATCATATGTAGACGCGCAGTCGGATTCTGGATTAAATTTATAGAATCCCGAAGACACAGCTAGTAGACAGCTTGGAGTGCACCTGGGGACGATAATAAAATTGTTGAATCGAGTATGTACGAAGTGTGTACTTAAAAAGCGGCCACGTTTATTTAAGCTCGAGTTAGCTCCCGCGGCGCTCATCGCCGTATATTTTGTTTCAAAAAGGGATTAATTCTCGCCACTCCAAATGTCACAGTCGTTATACATGTTACGTTTCTAAAACAGCCGCAGCAAAATATTCATACTCGTTTGGAAGATTATGCCGGTGCGTTTTATACGGAATTAAATTTCACGTATGAAAATTCATGTTACATTTATACAAGGATTGAAATTCCTACAATTTATGTTTATAATAAATTCACGATTCCGAAGTTGTATATAGACGAAAATGATATCTACAATTGTTTCCTCCCGTAATTTTGCAAATAAGAGATTATGAGTTAAAATGCCGCGATTGCGTTTCTCGTAATTCCTAATATTTCGCTTTTAGAGCTGCAGGGCTGAATCAGTATATCAATTAATGAAATTTAACTTCTAGACTTTTCACAAAATATTTTTGTTTTGAATATTTTTGTTTGATATATTCGTACAATTTTTCTAATTCTTTCTAATTCTTTTATATCTTTTAACTCATCTATTAAAATTATGTTACTTAAAACAATTGAAGAATTATTTTCCTTTAAACAATTTCATAACTCAATATATAGCTAAAACATATCATAAAATATCGTACTTTTATTAAGTAATGACATCTATCTTATTTATTAAATAAAACGGACATCTAAGGAAGTAATTTGCTAAATGTTATATAAGTAACTCATTAAATCGAAAATGTGAAAGATCACCATTCATCTTCAAGAGCGAAGAGATGAGCTCTCTCGCATTTGGTGGCTGGAAAGCAGTCAAAGCATCGCGACATCGCGTACGGAAAAGTGGAAAGTGGCTGATTAATTGTCGATGAGGAGAGAGAGAAAGGTAGAGAGAGCGAGAGCGCGAGAGAGAGAGAGAAAGAGAGAGGGGAGGAGAGCAGAGAGTAAGAGAGGAACAACAAGAGGAGAACGGAAGCGGAGGAGCGCGCCTGCGCGTCCTTCTCGCGAGCGCTTGTTATGGAGGCCTCAGTCTCGGCTCGCCTGGGTAGTAGGCAACACGGCCGACGCCGAAGCACCGCGCCAAGTATCCGACCGGGGAGCCCCGGGGACGTTCTAAAGATAGAAAAGCGCGCGCCGCCGATGCGCTTCGCGCCGCGCTGTCACGACGAGAAGCGCGTCTCTCCGCGCGACGACGCGGCGACGCGGGCTTCCATCGTGCGACGACGATGAGGAGGTATCGCGCGTGACACGGAGGCACCGAGGCGAACGATCGAACGCGACGATCGAGGACGCGCGGTGTTAAGGAACGAATAAGGGCGCCTCGACGAGGAGAGTCTTGAGAACGCGCGGATCTCTGATATCGCGAACGGTGCTACGTAAATACCTACGTGTCGCGCGAGGAAACGCGGGATGACAGACGCGCGAATCGATCGCGCGAGACGACACGCGAGTGGAGCAGAAGTGACGAGCCACTCGATCTGCCGCTCGATGCTTACTGCGGCGATTCATTGGGAGACTCGTCATATATATATAAAAATATGTCGGTGCTAGATATGGCAAGAAATGTAAACATTTTTTTTCGATTTCTCTGAAACGGAGCAAAAACGAGCATATGTCTATAGGACTTTTTTTCTTAGTTTTTTACTCCTCTACACGCTCCCGAAGTTTTGCGATTTAATTTGGAAACACCCTGTATATAAAATTTCACGATTAGATTTAGATGATCTACGAGAGAGTTTATAATGGACATCTCTCTCACCGCGGTTTTTACTTCTCCGTCCGCTCCGCAAATCTCGTCTCGCGATCCAGTCGTGCTGATCCTCGATGAAATGGAATTTCGGAATATAGATAACGTTGTCCCGCGACGGAAATTGATAGAGACGCAAGTTCAGTGATATATCGCGACAACGTGCTGGCGCGTCACATCGTTGGGAACGCGTGACGGGAATTCGCAGTTATTCGCGGACGGAAGTGGATTTCACCCCATAAGCTGTTTATCTCTCAATATAGTGGCGCATTTATTTGTTCTTCACTTGATTCTTCGGTATAAATGCATTCAAGGCTGAACGGAATCGATCGCTACTTCTCACGTTGGCGTTAATCCAACGAGAGCATTTGCGAAACCGGCGCGTACGATATGGTGCTTTTTCCGAAACATACTGCGAGTAATTTAACGATGGATGTTTACTTGATAGCATATTGCGAATAATTTGACGTCGGATGTTTACTTGATAGCAATCACGTTATACACGGCTGCGGTCTGTTTGTGTAACTCACGTAATTTGATTTAAAAGCTGTATACACACAGATGTAAATTTATTATATTATTAATATCTCGCGTTAATACACGCGGCATGAAAACGGAATACACATAATTTGTATGGAATTTCTCTTGTATTTCTTTTTTTAATAAATTCTTTGACTAATTCGATTCTCTTTTACTAGATTCTTTGATACTGGATCTTTATTTTAAAAGCATATAAAAAAATTGATGAACTTCAAAATTATTAAAAACTTCACAGTTTATAACACAATTTATAACACACAATGTATTTAAATATAATAAAAGAGAATTAGAAATTAAAATAAAGAGAAAGATATATTTATTAAGTTTAATGCTAAAAGATTGTAGAAAATGATGATGTTCAATGAAATACTAAGAAAACATCGATATTTTCTCTTTATCGAAGAATCTATAGATAAAAGAAAGGTCAAAAGTCTAGTGCACTAGATATTTAGATTGTAATGCTGTTTCAAGCTGACGCGTATATTTTTATGATAAAATATTTAATTTATCGTCCACTCGATTTTCTGATGACAAATAATTCTGAATATTAACAAACAGTAATTTATAACATAATAAAATATTCGAAAGCTATCGATTTTCTGTGTGAAGAATTATGTTGCAAAATAGTGACGACAAGATAACGTGATTAGATCAATTTCGGATTTGCAGCGGTTCGATTTGTCCGTCGTTTAATTCCCCTGGGTCTCATTTTCTCCATCGATTCTAAATTCTAGCGATAACGCTTATCTCGTCAACGTATCGCTGTCTTTATTGCACCTTACCGTTTCTCGCAAAGAAATTGACATGACATCGTTAATAGTTAAATTGCACGATTTTATTCCATTATTTCAAGGTTTTCCAATAAATGCGAAAATCAGCACTTCTACCACACATTTATCGTTAAATATAGCTACTTGATGCTTATCCCATATTGACGATGTAGCAGACACAGTCTTCATCAATCCTGTTGTGTTATCGTAATATTACTATTAGACTCATAATTATCGTAATATAATTATTATTTAGACTAACGAAATTAGATCAAATTTGGCGCGAAATACTTCTTCGTAGAATATGAACGAATATTTTTAAACTGTAAAAATATATTTATATATTAATTAAAGTTTAAAGAGATATTTTTAAAAAATTACAAATACGTACGATAATCAAGTAAACAGGAATAAAAAATAAAAAACAAACATAAAAAATAAACAGAAATAAAAATTTATTGATTCTTATTTGTTGTCATTCATATTCCAAGAAACAAAATTATGCATTTACGTTCTGACAATCGTATAAATAATCAAAAGTTTTTCCTATAAAATTCAAATCAATACATTTACACGCGAACGTGCTAGATAGTAGATACATGTCTACTTTTAACAAGCATGCGGTTGTAAAAGTCGAGCAATAAGGGTTCGACATTTACTAGCACCATACTGCTCCCATGATGGACTTTCGCTTTGGCGAGACGCTATTTACACTTTTTGCATCGAGAACTTCGAAAGCCATTTAAGTTATCCGTGTTATATCCAATGCGTGCTTCTTACGTTCCTTCGCTCAACTTTATTGGCGATATTTATCAACGCCGAGATACGCTCGGCGTTTCATGAGAGGACGGACAACTCGAACGTAAAGTTACCATCGGTGTACAGCCCCAACGGGACTAGCACATAGGAAAGTCTTGCTCCTTTCCGGTTACACTCGGCTGCCTTATTACGCTTCTATCTACTTATCGTTGCTCTCACTTTGTACATCCCCGATATCGTCCGCTTTTCATGTTCCTTTGATACTCTGAATTACGGAGAGCAATGACGTAGATGAATTTGTGGTCGCCTCTAGATCCCTCAAAATTCCTCTATCAATGTTGCCGAAATTCCACCTCGTCGTTCTCGATTTTTTCGTTTTTTTCCGTTTGAATACGTTCCACATCCAATTTCGTGAGATTTTTTGGCTAAGATTTTCTCTATTGTCCTTTTGCTCCGTAGTTGATCCAGTTTGATACCGTCATTACGCTAATTGAAGTGCCGCACCATTCAATATTGTCGTCGTATTGTTGAAACTTTGAAAGTCTTTGCAACAACTGGAAACTCATATCGAAGATGTCCTTTTAAGAATAAAAAATACGATTTAAAAGTAAAATGGCAGTATATTATTTTTGCAAATGGATTTCGTGTAAACTCATTACAACATTAAAAATACAATCTTTTTTTCTTCCCTGATTAAAGATGTTGCTTCACTTTTACTTGAAAATTAATTTTTTTAATCAATCTTATTTAATTAATAAGTAGTAGCACAAATAATATTACAAAATTTAATAATTATTTTCATGCATACAATATACCTATCTTTGAAAAAATACCTCAGCTCTATTAAGTACTTTCAAAGAATACTCAGATAATAAGCAAAATACAAATAAAAAATAAAATATAAATTTGATATATTTATGTTACTCGCGTTTATGCCATTTTTAAAAAAGACTGTTGCGATAAATTTTTTATCATCCAATAACAAATATTTTTGAATTTGAAATATATAGAAATCGAATGTACAGCATCAAAGCGCAAATCCACAAAACTTGCGAAACGCGAATAAATATCTCGTGATTTGCAATACAAAATTATTTTTATAGCACGTTCGTACCAATGAAGCGGCGGCCCGAGAGCTTCATTTGCCATTTCATATATTAAATATCGATCCACCGACATTCTAAATCGTTTCGCGCGTCTTCGATTTCCTCTCGATCTGTCACTCGCTATCGCGCCAGTGTTCGCCATAAATGAGATCGATCAATCGTTCCGCTCGATAAATGAAAAATATCGCGGTCGTATGCTTGCAGTTAATGTTCCGGAGATCGAGGAATCTGAAGATGTTTAAGGAGCCGTGACTGTTCGCATACTCGCAAACTTTGTGAAGAAGTGAAGTGAATCAATGTAAGTCTTGAATGATTAAAGGGACAAGCGCGTAAAAATGACAGGCACGTAAAGATAAGTCGTACTAAAATTTGCGAGAAATTAACGAGCCTAATGAGATTTTGAAGAGGGGTAGTTGAAATTATTGTCGTGAAACAATGAAAAGACACCATTTGTACGCTTAATAAATATATACGGATCTTAAGAGAAAAAGAGATCATAAGAGAAAGTGAGAAGAAAAGGAGGATAAAGGATAGAGAGACAAAAGGGGGACAAGATTCGGCTAATTAAAATCTGAAATGGAAATCTGATAACACAAGACAAAAAACAATGAAAACTTAGTAGCAAATGGATAAATACTAGTAAAACGAGATAACGAAGGCTACCTTGCAGGTTATAAACGTAAAGTGTAAAGAAAGGAAAAGGAGAGACGTAGAAAATTGGATAGAATTGTCGGAGGAAGACAATTGCATAGGTATTCCCGAAAGAAATAAAGAAAACACATACTGGTATATAGAACGTTAAAGGTAGAAAAATCGATTGTGGAAGATTTAGAATCGGAAGCAGTAAAGTGTAGGAATCTTGATGAAAAGAGAAAAGGAAGATATTTGGCAGAGTTGAAATTGATGTTGAGAGGAAAGTGGGCGAGAAGAAGGTAGATAAATGAACTCACCGAGCGGAAAACTTGACAAGGCCAAAAGGAACAGTAAGGGTACGCGAGGCTTAAATGAAGGATAATCGCGAGGAGAAGCGTATTCAAACCGGAGATGAATAGGAGGAGGAGATGGATTAACGTGGAATCATCACATGTTCTCAACCATAAGAAACGATAAATATATGCCCACGCTAGGAATACATCGGATACGTGACAAGATTTGCGAGACGAGGACAAACTTCCATGAAGTTTACCTCGCTTATCTTTGTGCTGTAAACGATGGCGAACGAACGTTCGCGGATGATCAGCTTCGAAACGGCTGATTCGCTTTAAAACGCACGTGCTCCCGTCGAGATCGTGTAGTACATCGAAGAAATACACGGACGCGAATCGCACCCCGCCGATCGTATCAGCCACGAAGTGTTCGCGCGAGCAATAAGCCGTTTCGATCATCCGTTCTTAGTGATTAATAAACTTGACGCGATAAACTTTATCGAAGACACGCAGATTCCTTGAATCCGACCACGTGCACTGTGTTCAGGAATACAAGACAGCATAAAAATTCCGGAGAGAAGACTTAGGAAGTTGTTAGGATAATTTACGCATTATTTGAGCGTATTTTTACTGCCGATTTACGATTTGAGAAAAACCAGGGTTTAGTCTTCATCGTCGTATCATCATCGATTTCCAACGAGTATATCGTCAGTATATACATATATACCTTTGTTCTCACAGTGTAGTGCAATCTCTCGTTCTCGTCGATGCGGCGGGAACTTCGACGGAAGTGGCAGGGAGCGGAAGCAATACCGAAATCGAACGCGGGGTGCTGCCGCGCGGTCTACTGGTTTCGTGACGCGAGGTGGTGATCATCCCCCGTTGTGGGTCGCCTCGGTTAGTGTCTTCCGCGACTCAGGGGGTCGCGCCCGGGACTCGCTGCCACAACATGGGCTGCGAACTTAGCAAACTGGCCGCCACGAAATCGCGCAATCAAGCCGGAAACGATGGCTCATCGCCGCCGCCGCCGCCGCCGGCCGCCACGGATCCTCGACTTCCGCTCACGGCTCGGCAAAAATTTACGGTTATCGCCAGCTGGAAAGCGGTCTCCAGGGCATTGGAGCCCACGGGTATATACATGTTCATAAGGTACATAGCCGTTGTTAATGTTGCAAGGTTTCACGATTCATCCGAATGGCTCTCTGTAGAAAACCATCAAGTGAACGTACGATGCTAGATGGTCAACGATTGTATCGCGTCTGAAGTATAAACGAGAACGTGATATACTATATTTATGTATATACCATATATACGCAGCCCAAACTCCGATTTTTTCTTCGTTTTGCAAAGAAATATTTCAACTTTACTCTCTTTACACTCTTTTCATTTTCTTATCTTCTATTGTACATACAATTTTTTAATTAAATCGTGCCACTGGCATTAAATTTAATTAAATATAAGCCTAGGAGCTCTTTATCTTATTGGACTTTACCTTATTATTAAAAATCTTGGCAATTTCAAATATCTTTTTCATAATAAAACAAATAAAAATAATATTGCTATTAGATATATATGACATTCTACCTTTTTCATTTTAGGTGCAAAATTTGCAAATATATAATTTTCTGTGTGATCTGTATATAATAAAATTACAAATTTGTGTATTTTTTCAAAACCTGAAATAAATATTTTACAAAGAGATTCGTAATTGAATTTTGCACTAACATAATTTTAAAAACTGTTTTATTCCAAACATAGTCTTTTATTCTGGCTTAGGCATTTTTTAGCAATAAAAATAAAATTTTTCTTTCTCTATAATTATTGAAATAAGTTTATTCATTTTTACTTATTACAATAATTATAGAGAAAGAAAAATTTTATTTTTATTGCTAAAAAATGCCTAAGCCAGAATAAAAGACTATGTTTGGAATAAAACAGTTTTTAAAATTATGTTAGTGCAAAATTCAATTACGAATTTCTCTTTGTAAAATATTTATTTCAGATTTTGCAAAAATACACAAATTTGTAATTTTATTATATATAGATTACAGTAAATTATATATATGACATATATCATAGTTGTGTATTACGTTATCTGTAAAATTTTCCATAAATCTGAAACATGATAACAATAATATGGTTGCTCCCTCAAAGGATTAATAAAATTGACCTTTGAGCCAATTAAGATAGCTATCTTGATAAATGATACTTCAATGTTACTGAAATTAAATAAATCGACACAAACTGGCTAATTGATGTTTGATGGAAATTAAATAGATTATTAGTAACAATGTATAAAATATTGGCTTATGTTATTTCTATCGTTTACGTTCCGAAATTAATAATAAAAATTATATTTGATACATTAATACTAAAAGAAAAAGGAAATATGAAGGAATAAATTTAAAGAAAAAAATCAAATATCTTGCTTTTTAATAGATTTGTTTATTTATTCACTTTTACTGCAATATACATTGCAGTATAATGTGTTGCTCAAGAGTTTCTGATCATTATTCACACATGTAATTATAAATAAATAATTGTAAATAAGATCTTTAAATGAAATTATATGGTGATGATTATTTACGGTATATGAAATATAATTTTACGAAAACATTTCATACATCTCCTAAGTCAAATAAATTTGCTTTGTTTTATGAAAAAGAGTAAGTGGTACGTAATCCAAGTTTATTTCATTATTCGTATCAATATAACATAAAATTTTTGCAAAAGCTATTTAAACAATTATTTAATCAATTTAGTATATATTTTTTATTATTTCAAAGTTTAGATTTTTTTAAAAGCTTTATTTAGATATAGATTCTATAGTCACTCTTAATCGATTTTTTTCTCCAGTAATTTGATTTAAAAGACTCATACATTTTCACAATTTCATACTTTTTAATATTAAATATTTTGAAATTGAGTGAGACGTTTAGTATAATTTAATTACCTTAAAGCTAAATATAAAATATATCCCTTTGATAGAGTTTAGAAGAATAAAATAGGAATCGTCATGTAAAAGAATGTTTTCTTTTTCTCTTCCTCTTGTTCGGGTAACCCTTGTAAATTCCAACAGTTATCTAACCGAAATACATGCGAAAAAAACCATGTTAAACACAAGTATTGTAGCTGGAATTTCCGCGTGACAGTAAGTGATGTCTCCATTACAAAGTATAACATTCTTGCGATTTCGCCGGAGAGCAGATTTGTTTTCCGAAGGCATTTTTATTTGTCGAAGGGGACCTCACTGATTTTCGTAAGAAAATGGTAGCATATATACGTTTTCCGGAGTTGGGGTACATCATGTTTCGCCCGCATCACGCGCCATTACGTGATTAGCTGAGCGTTTAGGCTCTTCAAGGCCGTCATCAACGTCAGACGCAACCCTGAGAGGGTAGATGTACCTGTCGATCCTTATACCCCCTTCACGCCCGTTTTCACTGACGTTCCTTTGCACAGAGGAAGCCTATCGATGTATCGTAAACCGGGTGTCGTTCGTGTCATCGCTCGTGCATCGAACTGAGACATAATCTTCTTTCTGGAGACTGTATTTTGATCGTATAAAGCTGTGACGTGCCGCACGGATTGAACGCGAATGCACAACTCTGTGGATCACATAATTGAGGTCATTCAACCCTTAATATAATTTTTTATTATTTTACCTGCTGTGCAAGTCACAGTAGCATAAGTGGAATTGCATACAGTTTCTTAGAATGAGATTGAAACACTTCACTTATCGTCACGGTAGCGTCAAAAACTAAAATTGCACATTTGTAGCTTTTTTAGAATGGGATTAAAATACTTATATAACCCTTTATTTTTGAGATTGAAACATTTTTATAACTCTTTACTTTTACTATCATAAAAGAGAAGAAAAAATTTGCAGTATATAAGAATTATCTTTTTCCGATAATAACTTATTTTTACATATTTTAATAAAGCAAACATTCGTTAACATTCGTTATTTCTCTAATTATTTCTTTAAACTTGGACTAAAATCAATTTTTTGTAATATAAATTTGTAATTATTAGTTATTAATTATTCATAAACAATTAAAATTTTAGGATCAACGAAAATTTAATTATACAAAATACCATTTCTTATTCGTGATGATAAACGAAGTCTATTTTCATTATATTTACCTACATAATAAAGAAAACAACATGATATTATATTTTAGAAGAAAATGATTCACCGTCTTTGGCGAATAAGAAAGCTAAATTAGTTATCTTAAATGTTGCAAATGACCCAGAATTAAGAAGATTCCATAAATAACTGACCCAATACAGTATAGATAAATTCATCTTCCTCGAAATGAGACCATTTCGATGGAAAACAAATTTAGTTGCGCTGCGAAAATCTTCGCGAAGGATTCAGGCCCGTGAGAATTCATCGACATAATTAGTTCGCCAAGTACTGACGTAAGGGATCGGCGCTCGTGCCTGTTAATTTTCATCAGAATTTAGGATAATTCTTAAAAGTAGTCGGCGTCGTGACAAGGGTCGTCTGAAATATTGCAGAGGCCAACGGTGCCTTCGTAGAAGTATCATTACGGTGTAACGAAAAAGCGCGGAGAAAGCGACTTGTTTCTCTCAATCGCGAGTCCAGCCAGCTACAGCAATATCTATCACAATTTGCGCGATCCTATTCCAGCCCGTTCGTTTCATTCCATTTGCTCGATAGACGAAAGACTGCGTTCTTTTGTTGACTTTCGACGGGAATCGGAAATACCAATCGTATCGTCATGGAATTGCCGGTATAAACGCTTTTTAACCTGCAATTTGTGACTCTCCTTGTTCGCATCAGACATTGAAGTTCGATAAAATCGGATTGGTATTCCCTCGAATGAACATGAGGTATTTTTGGAATCTCTTTCCCACATTTTTGGACGATTCCATGTAATTTTTAATCTTTTAGTAGCACCAACTATAGGAATGTGTGAGCGAGGTAAAAAATCCATTGAAAAATTTAATATTATATATACCTATATATTATCGGTAATACTTTTTTTATCTCTGAAAAACTCATTTAACTTTAATCAAATCTTATTACTATCTACTTAATTGTAATCTATAAAATTCTGTAATAATTTCAATACTTCCAACTCTTGATTTTTTATTACTTATTTTAAAAATAAATATTCATATAGATCTCTTCTTTATCATCCCATTAAATTACAGGCTCTAACAGTTTGAAAGTTACAAAAAAAAAAGAACATTTTGCTTAACAAGGATTATAACTATATTCCTCGTGGCACAATACAGCGATGCAGTAGTGTCGACAAAGCGAATTCTCCAGGAGTCCTCGATAAGCGCTATTCTATAATGGGCTATAATCGAGATTCCAGAAGGTCTCTCTCGCTTTTAATTGAGGCATACGGTCAGGAGCAGCTGAGAGCGACGTTTACCTTCAACGGACACAATCAGGCATCGATCGAATCGCGTAATACGCCATAAACGAGATTACGTTCTACTCGAGGGTCCATGCGTGGACCCTTGTCGGATTAAAGTTCTTCAAATCAAAGGCCCGGTCTTGTCAATGACCATGCGAACCCGATCGTGCCCGTTTCCATCAACGATATTGGATTGACAGCGAGTAAGTTGAACAATCGGCGAGCATAACCCAGGCTGTCCGCTCCTATATCTTCCTCTTTTCTTTTTTTTTCATCGTACGAATTGACACTTGACCCCATCATAACTTTCCCTCCGCCACGCACGTTCGATCTTTATCAAAGTAACGGAAGGCTATAGAAAGACAGAATAAGCTGTAATTTATCATTAGTATGCGTTGATTAAAGCTATCATTCTAATTAATATTATATCTAAAAACGATAATTAGAACATCGATACGTTTTTATTTTTATCGATTTATTACATTACTTTAAATGGTCTTGCTTATACTTTTTTTCTTGAAAATGTATGTTTCTGAAAAGATTGATAATAAAAAGACAAAAATGTAACTAAAAACTGCAAAGTGTCAGAATACATAATAAGTTTATATTGAAAACATATTGCGCTATTAATACAATTAAAAGCGTGAAGAAATAAATATTCAGGATATCAAAGTTTAAGTGATAATTGTTATTATAACTTGTAGCTAGAATTTATACGCTTGACCGATTCATTTTGTTAAACTGACATACACC